CCCCCCCCCCCATAAGCCGAAGCTGGTGCTTTCATCGTGTTCTAGCCTCGATAGCGCTGCCTAGTGACATTCTGTGGCGTCCAATAATTACCAGACGAAACACGACTTAGCCCCTTTAGGACTTCCGACGTGCAACAGCACTCGAGATTCAAGGTAAAGGATGAGAAAAGAACTACTTGTTTGGAGCGAAGCCTGCTTATTTGATCATAGGAACTCTAGTCAGGCCTTTCTTTTGCTATACGCTTTGAAATCCATGTCTTCTACGACCTTGAGGCTCTCCAGCTCTTCAGGTTTATCCTGCGTAACTTTGTGGCCAGGTGAAGATCAGCTGTCAGCCACAATGCCCAAATGCGCATAACGAGAATGCGCTGTAATACACCCGCGGCTGAAACTAGCGAAAACCAAAAGCAGGCTATGTTACTATGGGTAGTCTGGCCAGCTGTGAGCCTTAACCTTGTGACTCGGTATTTCTACATTGGATTCAGCACCTGATATCTCAACCACTACCTTTTGCATACTCTTTGAAGTCTGAATCAATTGGTACGAATCACCAAGATGGGCTGTTTCGGCGCTGACAATGACACAAATCGGGTAGACGAGGAGACTGCAGTCCGGGGCGTACAGGTTGATTTTAGCGATGATCGCTGGATTGTAGACCTTGAACTCGATAACATTATCAGCAACATATCGGAGAACGAGAGCTGGACAACTTCATTTCGTAGGGGGTTTCAGGGCGCCAATGACAATGAACAACCCCCAAACGAACTAGGCAAAGTATGAAAGTAACTTCCTGTAAGTCAAGAGAGCGACGTTAGCTGAATGAACCAGAGTTATCGGATCAACTTTGCTGTCCTTCAGCGAATACAGTTGAAGCAGCTCCGAACTAAGCTCGCCAAACATGCAGTCTCTCTAAGATGCGAAGCGGGTGAACCTCAAGGGTGGCAGGACACTCTTAAAAACTATAGTAAGATGACTGGTGTTTTGCTTAGAAGTCGATCGAAAGGGTGCTGATGTCGAATTCTATAGTACAAGCACTCCAAAACTATGAATATATGGAAAGACGAAGTCTGCAACCTGAAGACCCGTTCTACATGAGCGGCGAGAAATATCAAGACCGAAAGCTCCTTGAAACCATCATAGGAGGCGAAGCATATAGATTTGAAGGCAAAAAGGTATTTCCTGCTATAGGTAACTGGCAAAAGGGTCCTGATGGATCGAGATCTGTTCGAGATACAAGACAAGATAACTATCAGCGGAACTGGAAGGTAGGTTTCCACCAAAGACTTGCCGTGGCGGCCGTAGGTGGTATATTTCTCATGGCCCCTATGTGGCTGATGGTCTTGCATAATACTCTCTACACAGCTTTGGTTTCGACGACGGTGTTCGTTGCTGTTTTTGGATCAATGGCTGCGCGTTATCTTACGAGTTTGATGGACGTTATGTCGAGTACAGCGGCTTATGCTGCTGTGTTGGTTGTTTTTGTTGGGCTGATCACTGAAATGCACGATGGCTGAGACGGAGGAAGAGGATAGTGTTGAGTTTAGAGACAAGATTCGGGCGGTCTCCAGGAATAAATCTCGCACTTTTGTTATTTCTATTTGGAAAACTTGGGTTCTGAAGTATCTTACAGAGCTCATCCCTCAAGTAGACGAGTACGCAGCAGATCATCAAGTACCTTGCCAACAGCCAGAACCTTTTCCTCCTCTAAAACCCGGCCCACGATCTGGATATCTACAGGAAGATGATGCTTGACCATCTCTTGCATGTTATCCTCCCAAAGGCGGGTATTCCACTCATCCAGCTCGTTCCTCGGCTCATGGTCCCATAACGCATCAAGATCTTTAGCTTCAACCTTTCCTCCAGGGATAACCAAAGCCGTGTAATCCAAAAGATTCCAGACCTTGGTATATCCCACCCATTTGACAGTGTTATGAGGTACAGCTGCATGTGGTAGAGCCGGCATTATAATGGCGTCCACAGTCTTCCCCTTTTTAGAGAAGGTGTTGTTCCACTTCTCGAGATAGGCTTGCTGGAGCTCTCGCTTCCGTTTGTTGAGTTGCCAATAATCAAACACTGATATAGACTTTCCCCTGTTCACAAGTCTCTCCACGCTGGGGATAAAAGGTTCGCCTCCTGCCTCAACATCGCGACGAATGTCTTCCCCTCCATCGACTGTGAAGTAGGCGTCCATAACCTCTATGCACTCAGCGTGCAAGTCAGGCTTCCACATTACAAGCTCATGACCATCAGCTGCAAGGGCAGCTGCAGCTTGCGCAATAACCCTTACGATACTAGGATGAGGCTTCACAACGCCGTCGTCGTACAAGACACCGATTGTCAGCTTGCTGTTCACGGTCATGTCATATACAGACTGGCGCCATGGGATGGGAACGCAACGACAGTCTTGTTTCCAGGGTTCTTGTAGTGTGATCTCTTTTGTGAGATGATAAATGGTCGAGAGGGAGCGTGCTAAGGGACCGATAGATGATGGGACGTGCTCTTGTCCATCGGTTGAGACTGGTACGCCTCCATATGGCAATCTTGAGCTCTATCTCACGTTAGTGATATCCCTTAAATGGTGACTTAACACACGCTCGGCTTGAAACCATATAGGCCCATCATAGAAGCTGGCATGCGAATGCTACCGCCCAAGTCTGACCCGAAACCTCCGAGACTTCCATGAGAGTAAATCAGCGCCGACTCCCCACCCGAGGATCCTCCAGGCGTGTATCCGGGAATAATAGGGTTTTCGGTCAACCCCCAAAGAGGATTGTCGGTTTCAGCCCACTTCTCAAGATTATTATAAGCTCAAACTATGCCTGTTATCAGACTCACCATGATGCTCTGTGGGAGATTGGTTTTGCAAATGATGACCACACCTAGCTTCTTCAGGATCTTCACTAGGACGGCATCATCTTTGGCTGGCTTGAAGGCCTTGCTTGTGTAGCCAAGAGTGGTGTCATAGCATTTGACATTGAACTGGTCCTTCAGACTTATTGGAACGCCGTGCAAAGGTCCTTTTGTTTTGTTTTCTTTGGCATAATACGCATCGAGCTCTTGGGCCTGCTCCAGAGCATCATCGAAGAGGATTTCGGTCAGACTAGTAAATCGTCAGACTTTGGTAGGCAAGAGTCTACGATGAGGCTCACCAGTTTGTCTGTCAGTATGTCAGCTATGCCTAACCTTTAAATAATTGTCGTAAGGGTCTACCTTCTTATGCGCCTCAATGGCTCTGTGACACGATGTGTTAGCATAGATCTCTCACGGGATTCAATGATTGACTTTCCGTGTGATATAAGCCAGGGTTACATGTTCACTCGTGAACTCTCCACTAGAAATCTTATCGGCCAAGGCACTGATATCATCAACTTCGGTAATGGCCTTGTATGCATCCTGGCGATCCTCGTTGTCTGATAGGTTCTTGGTGACAAAAGCAGAGATGACACGGGCTCGCTGTCGTCCCTTCTCTGCAACGACTTGTTCCCAGATCTTTGTTTCCATAGTGATTCATAGATCTAGCGATAACGAAACCTAGGGAGGTTGTGTGTCTATCAAGGTTCAGAGGCTGTTGCGAAGTTGGAGGTGGTCGAATAACCCCGCATATACCCGCACCCATTACCCGTCCGCTGCTTATGAAGATTTTCGGGTGCAACATCCGAAATGCAAGTGATAGATGCTTGGCATACAACTACGCTATATCTATCAAGCAAGTTATTTCGATTCGGTTTAGAGAGAGACGTCTATATTCGCGCTTGAGGACTGGGTATTCTGCCTAGTTTTCAGCTTCTGGCGTTATTTCTTGTCTTCCAGCCAAACAAACTCCGTCAATTAAAGAGAAACCCTCGAATTCCTATGTAGGCATGATCTGATAATAAAGTTTGCTATACAGACTCGGTGGCCATAAGCCAGACATGGGTATCCCGCAGCCTCTGATACTGCTAAGTACGCGACCACCAATCATGGCGTGATATCAAGTGACTCAATGTGCCTGAATAACTTACCCGTTCGATTATCGCAAGCCTTCTCAGCCTCAAAGCTCTGAAACCGTAAGCTCGGGCTAACTGCAGCTGAATGAAGAACTAGAGGTGTTGTTGTCTATGATGTCATTGGCTGGTTTGGCCATGCCGCACATCCGTCTTATTGCGTATGATGAGTCCTCGAAGGATTCGTTGCGTGCAAAGACGACGTGTATAAAACGCCACAATATCTTCATTCTCACATGAAAATATTATATGGTTCTTCAATTATCTCATCCGTTATTTCTTTCATTCCGTTCGTGCTTGACTGACCAAAACTACACTTGGTAAAAGTGCGGGAAAAGAAAAAACAGCTTACACATTACTTATAATAACGTCACTCCTACTCCAATGGCAACTTTGAAAGTCCTGATATGCGGAGGCGGTTGTGCCGGACCAGCCTTGGCCTTCTGGCTCACCCGTCTCGGTCATCGCGTAACCATCGTCGAGCGCTTCCCAGCCCTACGCGCAACTGGTGCACAGATCGACTTTCGTGAACAAGGCATTGCAACTCTCAAAGTAATGGGCCTCATGGACGAGATTCGCGCAAGACTGGTTGACGAAGCAGGCGTTGCTTTCGTCGATACCAATGGAAAGATCTTGGGAACAGTGCTCGCCAATACATCAGGCAAAGGCGCCCAGTCCATAACTTCTGAATTCGAAATAATGAGGGGAGACGTTGTAAGGATTCTACATGATGCGACGAAGGATGACGTCAAGTATATCTTCAACAAAACTGTTGAGAAGTTCGAGCAAGACGATAAGAGCGTACTTGCGCACTTCTCTGATGGGACATCGGATACCTTTGATATCCTTGTTGGAGCAGATGGTCAAGGCTCAAGAATTCGAAAAGCAATTGAACCAGCGGATGCTCCGGATCCTTACCGAAAACTGGGTATTCACATGGCTTATTATTTCATCCCACGCGAAGAAGGGGATAGTAATATCCGCAGGACATATCAAGCTTCACAAGGTCGAATGATATTCCGTCGAACCCACAACTCAACAGAGACACAAGTTTATCTCATTCTCAAGGACGATTCTCCTGAAGTCTCCAGTATTCATAGAGGTTCAGTTGAGCAGCAGAAAGAGTTTTGGACACAAAGGTTTCGCGGTGCAGGATGGCAAACAGAGCGTTTCCTGGAGGGCATGAAGACAACTGGGAACTTTTACTCTCAAGAAGTTGTCCAAGTTCAGACAACTGCTTGGCATAAAGGCCGCGTGGTCCTCCTAGGTGACGCAGCTTATTGCCCCTCTCCGTTCAGCGGTATGGGAACTACACTCGGCTTCATCGGTGCCTATGTGCTAGCGGGTGAGATTCAAAAGAACCCCGAGAACTTGTCCTTGGCCTTTGAGAACTACGACAAAGTGCTACGACCATTTGTTGACGAGGTTCAGAATATCAAGCTTGGGCTTATCCGGTGGGCTATACCTGATACTCAATTGGGTGTTACAATTGTTCAGTGGATTGCATGGTTTGTATGCCTTCTGAGAATTCCTTATCTTATTTCAAGGTTTTCGAGTGAAGAGAAGGCAGGGTGGCCGTTGCCGAAGTACCCTGCGCTGAAGGTGAGCAAGTGACTTTTGGTCTATCCGCAACAATGCTTTAGGCATTGGAGGTTTGATATGGTATATTAAGCAACTCTACTCAGTACTCAGTCATGTACAGGATGAGGCTAATGACACTGTGGAAGCAGTCTTCATAACGCCAGAATCATGATTTTTAGTTCTAGCAACTCAATAGATATTCAATTGACTCAACTACATTTATTGAGGAACCTCAACGTCCTTGCTAGTATCAAGCTCCTCAAATCTTCTCAGGTCCATAGGCTTCTCCAGCAGGGGAATGACGTAAGGGTCGAAAGTCTTCCAGTAAGGGTTCTCAAGATGATACTTCTGGCTCTGCAAAACAATCAGCACATATCCCCATGTTCAATTGGCAAGTTACTTACGCTCTCTTGCTCATAGCGCTCAACGATGGTGAAAGCCCGTCGGTCAGCGGTGGACTGCATGACGTGCCATGAGAGGGTCTCCTTGTCCTGGGAGTAGACGCGGCTAGCCTCGATAAGCTTGGCGGTGAGCTTCTTGAGGGACTCCTCGTCGTCTTTGGCGTAGAGGTGGACAACGATTGTGTAGACCATTTTGGTTGATTTGATGTGGATGTGTATGGGGATATGGCTCGTGAGTGTTGAGGAGGGGTTGTTGAGCGTATTGGTTTTATGGTTTCTGCTAGGAAGTGGGGATCATGTGATCTCCCCACTGATCGACTGATGCCAACGAGATGCGCGATTACCGCCCTCGAAGTACTGTGCTGGATGAATTGCTTCGATTTATATAGTTTACCTAAGGCTTGAGGTAGCAACGTAATAGTTTTCTATAGTAGCTTTAAAAAGGTGTTGTTAAATTATCTTCTTCTAGGGTAAGCGGATGGATTGGGACTTTGAAAGGACGATTACGAATTCTAAACAAATTCTCATATATGTATACACAGTAATCAATAAGATGGAATTTAAAAGTATTGGATTTTATGGCTTCTAAAAAATATATTAAGCTGTTGGTTCCTTCGTTCCCTGAGTGCTGATCAATATGTACAGGTGATTATAATTTCTCTCATGTTAGGAAGCGAAGGTAAAATGAATATCTTATCAAGCCAAGCTCAAAGAGCTCCGGTAAGGCTTAGGCATATCCTCACTGTAATTAATAAGTTATAAGTGGTACGCCTGGCATTTCATATGTTGATCTCACACATCTTACCATAGAAATACTAGTCAGTGCTTTGGTGTTTGGAAAATTCATCAACTCCTTAGTGCCACATCACCAAACAATGTCGTCATCACATCTCGCCTAGACAAGAAAAACACCAGCTGATTTGCACCCAAAGATTCTCTGGAAACCGTATGGAAGCTTTTCACTAACCTAGCGCGTGCATTGCACTCATCCCTGTCCCCTCCGATGGTCGCCCGCCAAGGAAGATCTTTCAAGGATCCACAGGTGCCGCCTCACCGAGACCGTGCATGACTTGACCCACTGGGAGCCTCACGGCACTTATCTATCAGTGGGTCAAGGGATCATTCCGCCTTGAATCGGAATTTGATAAGGACAAACAGTGGTTCTTGGTTGCTGGATGCAACCATTCCTCAGACATGTTCTTCTGGAATTTTGACATTTCATCTTTTAAGTTTACCAGGAGAATGGATGGCCTTCTCCAGGTCTTTTCTCCAAGTTTCGAATGTGACGTGTAACGGTGCAGAATGTAACTCGGCCGAGTTGTTGGTTGGTTGATGAGGAGAAAAAGAAAAGGGTCCTCATTTCATTGCAACAACGCACCCGAGCTGAAAAAAAACAAACCTTGTATCGAATGATAGAAACTTGGAATCGCCTCACTAAGACTCAGGGATCGGAAGCTCAACACACGACCTCGTCCATGTTCTGATGAAAAGGAAGTCTTGGCGAAGGGAGGATTCTCCGATCGTCGTCCCTCCCGGAGCCTCATGACAGATGGATCTAATCATCACGGGAACAACATCACGGCACGCGAGTCAGGCCAGGGCTCGGAGTCTTGTAACCTACCGAGTGAGAACTCTTCAGATCGATGTGACGCAAGGCATCATTTATACACAACAGGACTGTCAAAGGTCCACTGTGTTATCACCATAGGAAAGTGTCTAGCAAGGTACCAAAAAATTTAATTTCTGGACCGTATTTTGATAAGTTATAGGAGAGGATCTGCCTTAACACCGAGTTATCTTTGACTCGACGTCATATGTTCTCGGACCGAGACCCACACCGAGCGGACCGGCGCTCCCGGACACTCCGCTGTCTTAATTGGAATCTCACCTTAAGCCCGAAAAGGCACCGCCCTATCGAGAATATGAAAATGGCCACCGAATTTACTATCGCCAATTCTGAATGTCGGATTTCTGAGTAGAATTCCAGAAGAAAAGAATCGTTCTAGTGTCCCTTGCCCCTGGGACTAGTGCAGTGAAATACATCATTTATTGTTCATAGCGAAAAAAAAAAACATGAGTCGTGATGGGAAACCCACAGAGTCTCGGCGGCTTCGTGGTGGTATAGTGGACCGGAATCACGACTCCACACCTCGCAACGACCAAACATGCACGGAAACAGACAACGTGCGATGATAAGACAAGTGGGAAGACGAGACAATCGATGTCATCATACTGGGCCAGACGAAATGATGCTCCAAAACTCTTTTATATCTCTTATCTCTCCCTCTGAGTCAACCTCCCCTCTAACAGCACGCTCTCTCCTTATCACACCTATCCATCATGTCTAATTATATCCCATCTTTCTCTGCGCCTAACTCAAGGCCCGGGTCCCCTCTACCTCTGGGGTCACCGTCTGCTTCAAGACCTACGAGCTTCTACGCCAATTCTAGAGCGAATTCGTTCGTGGGCACGAGACGAAACTCTGCTGTTCCTGCGACCTCGAGAAAGAACTCTGTTGCTGCTCCTTCGAGGAAGAATTCTACTGCTCCCCCTTCAAGAAGAAACAGTGAGGATAAGGGTGCTTCGGATCCTGAGTCTACAGACCTTGAGGTTCTGAAGAATGAAAAGGGTGAACCCCTTGCTGGACGTATCGTTGGTGGCAAATATGTCGATCCAAGCAATGAGTCCATCGACCCTGAGTTTGGGGCTATCAAGACTGTTGATATTGATATGCCTCTTACCCTGACGGAACTTGTTAATGAGAAGGGCAAGGAATATATCGTGCTTGGGTTTGCGACTGGCGATAAGGAGAATCCTTTTAACTGGAATCCTTGGTATAAGCGATCTATCTCGACTATTCTCAACTTGATGACCTTGTTCATCGGTCTTGCTACTACGGCCTACAGCTCAGGTATTGCAAGTATGTGCAAGGATCTCGATGCTCCTAACATCAAGGGTCAATTGGGTCTTTTCACTTTCAACATCAGCTGTGCTGTCGCACCCATGGTGCTAGCTCCCTTCTGTGAGTTGGTCGGTCGCAAGGTCGTCTATGCCAGTTCATTCCTGTGCTTCTCACTCCTCTTCATCGGTCTCGCTCTCGCCAAGGACATCGACACCATCATTGGCCTTCGACTCCTCCTCGGTCTTTTCGGCTGCGTCGGTACTATTCTTGTCGGCGGTACCTTCGATGATATGTACGAGCCTCACCACCGAAGTCGACCTATGGCTATGTTCAGCTGGGTCGCTATTTTCGGAACTGTCGCCGCTCCCATCTACGCTGGTTTCATTGACCAGGCTATTGGATGGCGATGGATTGAGGGTATTCAGGGCATTGCTAATGTTCCTCTGCTCCTTGTTATCTTCTTCTACTTCCCTGAGACCCGTGGTGGTGTCGCCCTTCATAAGCGAGCCAAGGCTCTTCGACAAGCTACTGGTGATGAGCGCTACGTCTCTGCTGGCGATATCCTGACTCCCAGTCTTCAGGCTATGCTGAAGGCTAGTTCCGTCAAGGCTATTCACATGTTGGTTACCGAGCCTGTCGTCTTCGCCTTCGGTCTCTGGATCGCCTTCTGCTGGGCTGTTGTCTTCCTCTTCCTTTCCGTTATCCCCATCACCTTCCAGGAGCACCATGGCTGGGGCGAAGGTGTCAGCGGTCTTCCCTACATCTCTCTCTGCATCGGTACTACTCTTGGCTGGTTGGCTCATCACCTCCAGATGCGCAAGTTTGACCGTCTTGTCGCCGACCCCAACATCAAGGTCACTCCCGAAGCCCGTCTGTACGGCGCCATGTACGGAGCCGTCTTCCTCCCCATTGGTCTCTTCATCTACAGCTTCACCCAATATTCTCATGTCTCTTGGGTTGGCCCCGCCATTGGTCTTGCTCCTATTGCCTTTGGTATCTACTTCGTTTTCGAGAGTACCTACAGTTATACCGCTGATTGCTATGGTGAGAGCTCTTCTTCTGCCATTGCTGGTCAAGGTCTTATGCGAAACACTCTTGGCGCTGTTACGCCTTTGTTCGCCAATGCTTTCTTCCATAATGTCGGAAGTCAGTATGCTGGTCTCATTCTTGCCTTGTTTGGTACTGTGCTGAGCTTGATTCCTTTCGTCATGTTTAAGTATGGGTATAAGCTCCGAGCTCGCAGCAAGCTGGCTATTGAGATGTAATTCTGCATGTATGATAGAGAATTCGTCAATGATCTGGAATGAAATAAGAAATAGATAGCATTGAACTATAGAATATTTGTTAATGAAACTGCATACATGAGCTTTATGATAGCTTGAAGACATGTGAATAAAGAATTGGAAAGCCTTATTGCGACAAAAAGCGATTATAAGTAGGTAGCTTGGTAGTGATGGCGAAGAAAGAGTCTAGGAGAGGCAGGGGTTCGTTGTATGCAAAGTTTGTTTTTGAGAACGCAATAAGTATATAAGCTTGCCTGCAATTGTTTCCCCCAACAACAACACGAGGCATCGCCTCAAATCACCAGCGACCGTGGTGTAGTGGTTAGCATTAACGCCTTCCAAGCGTTAGAGAGGGGTTCGATTCCCCTCGGTCGCATTTTTGGTTCCAATCTGTCTACCCCTGTAAGATGTATTACCCCTGTCCACCTAGTGATAGTGCCTTGTTAGTCCACACCAGAAAACTGCTCGCTGCAGCAATTATTTATAATTATATTAAAACTACTTTGCTTGTGGATTGAGGCCACTTGTTCAGTTGGATCTTAAGGTTCAAGGCAGCAGCTGTGTGGTCTGTTGAGACTTAATATTAAGGTTATTGTGTTTTTTGGCATAATGTATAACGCCTTATATTGTATTATGTTGAAAACAAACACCTTATCTTGTTATCTTGCTTTAACGCCTTTGGTTTCACTTTACGCATTGCTAGATGGGCATTTTGACTTATAAAAACTACTTATTCTTATTATTTTATTTTTTCTTTATTAATTATATAAACTTATTTCTTTAATTATAGACAACTGTTATTTAAGTTACTTAACATCCCGACCTACGAGGTCTTGTATCCTTAAGTACTTAACTTAAAGCACTATTTATGCTTATAATTTTTATTCTATAAAATTTCCCCCTAATGCTGCCAGCCGAACATAACGCCTGTAAATCGCAATTGAACATCTTGAAGCAGTCTCTTCTGAGCAGACCACTGATCGCCATCTAACAATTCACTCACCTTTGCAATCAACCGACCCAACCTTCTCATCCTCGACATCCATAAATTCCTTCTCACATGACTGTCTTCATCGCCATCCTGGTCATTGGCCATCTCATATACCGCTGGTCGATGATTAGGTCTCGGTCCTGTAACCTAAGACTGTCAAGCAGCTTCGCACAAATGTCGACGAGAAGGATGACATTCCGTGATTGAGAAGAGCACTTTGAACAATGAAGCAACTCTTCACACCTTGATATAGCTGACTTTTGAGCTTGTATGGACTTTGAGATATGGGATGCTTGGAAGAGATGTTGATTGTGAGGGCCGCCCATGTTCCCATGGGAGCGGTAGAACATTGACAAGATGATATCCTTTCGTCCGAGGGACCATGGTCATGAAGCTGTTCTGTCCTTGTTGGACAAGTTCCACTATTTGATATCATTGACTGCGGGAAAGGGAAACTATCATGTGGATAGAGATCGTCATCAAGCATGCTTTCTAGAGGAGGCGAAGTCAGAAAGCTTCCGGGCGAATTCAAGACTTGGTCCATGCTGACAGTCGAATTGAACGGTGTGTCATGACTGAAATCTCTAGTGTTCGTAGGAGTTGACAATTTGTCTTGTGGAAATCCAAACATGAATTCAGACCAATCTGGTTCCGTGTGATGAAGTTCAGATTGCATGGCTTCCAGATCCTGAACGACAGCCTCACTCATGCTGGAGCTCTGTAAGTTTCCAGGGTCGTCGTCAGCATTGTTTCCATAGGTGAAGGGGGTCATCAGTGCCCCAGATCTCTCTTTTTGTTTCATCTGTCTTCTTCCTTTTACAGAACCGAAATTGTGCTCGGTATCACTGTCGGTCCCGTATTCGCACTGCAGGTCCCGACTGCGACAGTTTCTGCAGCCATCAGGTTCACTTGTGCAACGTATCTGTCACATTGGACCAGGTTAGTGCATGAACTTAGATTACGTAGCGGCTGAAACATACCTTTCTGGTACGGCAGGGATTACAAGCAGATCGTCGAGGCTTCCCATTTTGAGCTTTTTCGAATGATGGTCCAGTGCATATCCAATAACCCGAGAGGACTGAATATACGACAACATGGATCTATATAAGCGAAAACTACCCTATCCACTCCGCCGCAACTACAGAACTCCCCACGGGGCAAAGCTGTATCGTCAGCATTCCAATATCTTATACGGTGAGAATGTCTCAAAGCCACAACATTTATAATCATTGCGGGCTGTTTGCTCCTTCTCAGCTTCTTCTCGTCCAAGGTGTTCTGCCAGTTAACAATCTATTGCACTTTCTAGTAGCCATTGCGTCTTCGCTATGTAAGCGAGATAGTTCACGCCATGACAAGGAACTTTTGCTGCAGTACAGTCGGGGCCTGCATCCTCACTTGGAAGGACTTCAAGTTCTTTGATCACAATCTAGTTATTTGAAGATGGAGAAACATGAAGCAGAAAAGAACCTAAAGGCCGACTTCTGTTTCTGCGCCTCGGCCATGGCTTCTCATGCAGATGCAGAAGCATTTAGGACCATGGTTGATTGGCTGAACTGGGTACGCAACAGGGTATCCTGACACTCCAAAGTTTCAGGGCACCGACTGACGTAGATGTTAGATCTTCTACTTTGACGAGGGTCAACTTGACCGAGACCCAGTAGCCGCAGAGAAAGAGATCCGACACACATTTGCTGTTCTAGAAGACGGTGCTGAGACTCCAGACAGAGAGCAATATCCCATGCGATACTTGTTCCGTACCATTTGGGACCGAGTCAAGAAGGCTGGTCTTCCTAAAGAACTGCTTTATGGAGCTCTACTAAGTGCCTCTGTATACAGAGGGCTTCTCCTGATGTTCAAACGCAGTTCAAGATCACGCATAAGCGATACTTGGATGGTCTTTTACACCAGGTGGAGGCAACACGCGATGGAGATGGTCAACCTCGAACGGAGGAGGACTACATCAGAATGCGGAGGAGGAATGTTGGTGGATATCCATGCATCAGTCTCATTGCGTGAGTCTTGACCCAATTATTCATGTCTAGCTGAAGTTAACGATGCTCTTGACAGCTATACCCACAATGTAAACTTGTCGCAGGAGGCATTTGAGCACACTTCTGTTCAGGAATGCATAGCTGTAGGCTGTGAACTCGCCTAGATGTAAGTGACATACACTCTCCCTCCATGAGATCTCTGCTAATACAACGCAGCCACAACGATATCGTCTCGTACAAGAAAGACGTCAAGTCAGGTATCGAGCACAACATTGTCACAGTCCTGAAAAAGAATGGCTTCACCACTCAGCAAGCCATGGATAGAGCTGGTGAGCTTCAGGATGAGTGTTATCGCCGATGGTACCTTGCGCTGACCAGCATGCCAGTTTGGGGAGAAGCAACTGATCGTGAAGTGTTGAGATATATCGAGGCATGCCATAGCTTTCCTCTCGGTGACTTACTTTGGAGTTTCCAGACTGGTCGGGACTTGGGAGCCACGGAGGGATACAAGCTGCATGAGACGAAGGTTTTGAATCTGTCGGACCTGGAGCCTATTGCTGCGTAAACAATTCTTACAATGGGAGGCTGCGATCTTATGTTTTCACGTGGTATTGGGTCGTTGAGGAGCAAACGAGGGGCTTTCTTTGAGTAAGATAGCATATGAGATTACAAATTGGCCTTTGCGACATCGGTACCTCGTCATATACTTCACAAATGACATTATCAGCTATCTCAAGGAGATATTTAATTGACATTGGCTGCTTTAGTCAATACGTCTTGTAAATAGGGAATTAGTGGGGAATAAGATGGCGTGCTCGAATCAGTGTCGGAGTTCACCCGATCAGTCACACTTGGGGTAAGACTCAATTGAGATACAATGGCTTGAATTAGTGATATTCTATTCATCTACTTAAGATGCTTTCATTTCTTTCAATTGAAATAACTTCAAAGCTATAGGCTAATCATGTCAGCTCAAAAGGACTCGTTTAAGCTCGAGGTAGCGATCGCTGGTGGTGGCATCGCTGGTCTCATCACAGCAATCGCACTCCTCAAACACCCCAATGTCAACGTCCAAGTCTACGAGAGAGCACCAGAGTTTAAAGAAATCGGCGCAAGTATAGCTCTGGGTCCCAATGGCCTCAGAACCCTCGACCGTCTTGGTGTCCAGAATGCCTTGGCCGAAGGCTTTGCACAGCGTCAAAAGTCTGGATATCCCATGATATACCGACACTGGAAGACTGGTGAAGTCATCGATCATGATGTTCACAATACAGTACAGAGCATGAAACATGCGACTGCGCGGTTTCATCGCGCTCACCTTCATCACGCGCTGCTAGAGAATTTACCAGAGGGTATTGTTCATCTGGGGAAGACGACTGTTGATGTTAAGGCGGATCCTGATGAGGGTGCTACGCTTTACTTTGAGGATGGGACAACGGCGACGGCTGATATTGTCGTTGGTGCCGATGGTCTTCGATCAGTATGTTTCAGAATTTCGGGAGGGAGTCGAGCGCTGACACCTTTGACAGAAAGTCCGCAAGACGTTTGTACCAGAGCATGAACTGCACTGGACAGGCTGGGTCGCTTTCCGCGCTGTCTTTGATGCCGATAGGTTAAAGGATGTTGAGTACCCCGAGGACGCAGCTCACTGGGTAAGTTCCAAAGACTCTCGAACCAATAGGTTGCTGAGAAATCAATAGGCTGGCCATGAGACAACGTTCTTCCACTCGCATCTAGGTAAGAGACCAGTACCTCTTCTTCAGCGCTGTCGCTAATGCATGATCATAGGCAAAGGCCTATTTACTATCGTCGGCGGCTACCATGCTGATCCGAAAGACCCTAAATCGCCAGGCCAAGACGCGAAGTGGGATGAAGATGGCAGTGTCGAAGAGTTCAAGGGGTTATACCAAGTACGTGAGCCTTCACCCCAAGTCCTTCGCCCTGACTGACCATCTAGCACTGGAACTCAACCATACGAGCCTTTATAGACGCAACCACCTACGTTAAACTTTTCCCAAATTACGCCGGCGCAGCTCTCGATACGTGGTCCTTCTCCAACCGTGTAGCTCTCGTCGGCGACGCAGCTCACACCCACGGCGGATCGTTCGCAGCAGGGGGCTCACTCGCCATAGACGATGCATATGCCTTGTACCGCTCGCTCGATCATATTTGGCCTCCTTCGTCAGCGCAAACGGGAAAGCCGACCAAGGCTCAGCTTGCGCAAGTATTTAAGCTATATGAAGCCACTCGCAAACCGCATCTGGATAAGCTCTTGGGCATCGTCCATAAGAACATTTCGGGGCAGAAGTCTAATATCGAGCGAGCAACGACGGAGACTGACGAGCAGTTGATACGGCGGGTGAAGGGAAGGATGAATCCTTCGTGGATTAGTGAGCATGATGTTGTTGCTGCGTTTGAACGGGCTGTTGAGAGGATAGAAGGCCGGGAGAAGACGGTGGAGGAACCTCGCGCAAGGTTGTGAGCACGAGTATCACATAGACTGTTTCCAATTTTATCAGTATAACTATTCTCTCTACCGAATCATTCCACCAATTGCAGGCAAAGATCTGCAGGAAAATCAGTACCAGGATAAGTCGTTCGTTCAATCAGCTTGGTTGTTCGTACCTCAGGACATCTTTTAATTACACACCTCATTAGTGGCGAGGAGTTTGTCGGCCCTCAACACAACCAACTTTTACTCAGGGGCAGCAGTCAAAACACTGGAGTGTACTACCCGCGTATATTGAGATATGTTCTTTGCGTTTGCATTGTGGCTTCAAGCTTCGTATAACCCCTCAACCTTATAGACCTACGTCAACAACTGCGCATCATAGAATGAGAAAGAAAAATTAGAAGTCACATTAAACATTAGAGTGAGAAGTGTTGTTAACAATGTTAATTCAACTATATTCGCAATTGATATCATCCAGTCATGTCCAAGCTAAACAAATACAAGAATTGAAGCACCCGCTTCAAACTTCTGAAGTCCTCTTGTTTCTCTTGAAGAAGTAAGGCATCACCAACTCGCCCATCTCGTGCCAGAAGCCAACAGGAGGCTCAGTGAAGGTAGCCTCGTACGCCTCAATCATGGGTCGCTCCCAAACCAAGTCAACCTCGTGAGGTCGGATGTACTTGGTCCTCTTGAAGACCTTCCAGCCAACGAAGAGGAGGATAGCGAGGATCTGCATGGAGTAGTTCTGGAAGAACACCTCAACGTCGAACTTGGGTCGGAAAGCGTAGTATCCGTAGACGAGAACAATGACGAATTGGACAACGAGGGCGATATAGGCACCATAAGGCTGGAAGTAGCCGTAGTAGGGTCGCTCAGTCTTGCGGTCGACGCCCTGGGCGACACAGGCGCGGTGGTAGTTGATGAATGTGATGGACATAATCATGAAAGTGATAAGACCGCCACCAGTGACGATGCTGATCAACCAGCCGAGAACCTTGGCGGAACCGTTGGAAACCTGGAGGAAGGAGAGGAAGGGGAAGAGCATGGTGACACAGAAGCAGTAGACGGGAATACCGGACTTGTTGCAGTATCGGAGGAATCGAGGGGCACGTCCCTCAATGGCCAAGGAGTAGAGAGCTCGGGTAGCGCAGTAGGTGTATGTGTTACCAGCGGAGAAGATGGAGGTGAGGATCAGGAAGTTGACGAGATGAGGGAGACCATCGATGCCAAGGTTAGTCATGGCGATGACATATGGGGAAGAAGCAGCGTTGCCAGTTCCGCCAGCACCGAAGTAGATGTCGACGAGCTTGGGATCGTTGTAGGCACAGACGATGCCAACAGCGAGAGCACCAATGATGAAGAAGATGCAGAACCGATAGTACACTGTCTTGAAGGCACTCTTGATGGTAAAGGTAGGGCGTTGAGCCTCAGCTGAGACCATTGAGATATACTCGGGGCCGACAACGGTAAAGGCAGCTGTGAAGAGAGCAGCGAGGAAGCCTTCAAATTTGCCCTTGTCGCCTGAGCTGAGGTATGTGGTGAATGATCCAGGGTTGGAGAAATGTCGGAAGCCGTAGGCATCGTGCTGGGGGTTTCCGCCGACCATGGTGACGAAAGTGAAGGCGAAGAGGAGGAAGATCAAAACGAGCTTTCCACCCGAGAGCCAGAACTCGGATTCACCATAGAATCGAACGGCGAGGACATTGAGAAGACTGTAAGATGGTCAGCATAGTTCAATTGACTTAAGAGGTCGAGCTTACCCGTAGCAGAGAATGACTGCAGCGCAGATACCAGCGGTTGGGCCAGCGTTAAGTGCATCAGCATTCCAGAAGGAGATGACAGAGGTCAGGGCAGTGATCTCGAAGGGAATGATAAGAGCCTCGTAGAGGAAGAAGTTCCAGCCAGCGACGAAGCCTAGCGCATCGTCGACCCAGTAGCCGGCAAGACGCACGAATCCACCAGCAACGGGCATGTATGTGTTCATCTCAGCGATCGAGTTGTTGACAAGGGCGAGAACGAGGGAGTAGAGGGTGAAGGCGATGAGAAGACTGCCGGGACCACCTTTGGCAAGACCGCCACCGATGGAGATGAAGAGAGCTGTTCCGATGGAACCACCAGCGGCGATGAGCTGGATCTGACGGTTGTTCAGGCGTCGGTGGAGATGGCCCATGCCTTGGTCGTCGACATATTGAATGCTTGAGGCATCGCCTGCGACGGCACTGCCCTTTGAGGCGGAGTGTCGTCTCTTCTCGTCGTCTGACATTGTGGAATGAAAGGCGGTTCAAGCCAGCCTTTGTGAGAGGGATAGGGATTGAGGAGGATTGGAGAGGATAGGGGTGAAGAGTGTTGGAGACGAGGGTCTGAGGAGAAGAGGAGGCTGGACTGAGTGGATTCATGGCGGTTTATATAGTGTCGAGCAGAGGCAGAGATAACAGGCAGTGAACCATGCCCGGGTAGTACGTGCATGGTGTCGTTGGTGACTTGGAACAAGAGCTTATCTTGCAGGTTAGCTTAGCCACTATCACCCCTAGCCCACGGGTCCAGGCCCCTGCAGTCGGGGTCACCCAAGCCAGCCAAGAGCATAGATTGGAGCGAGCTGAAGAACGACCGGGGTCTTCCCCACGGGGAAGAGCTCGGGTCCACCGAACCAAGACTGACTTAGGTCTGGGGAAAGCCTGTATCGGCACTCGATTAGCTCGTGCAGACGTGGGATTGTGGTGCGTTTGGCGGTTGTGCAATTGGTCAGGGAAATCACTCACTGTTGTCATCTTGCAGCCTTCACTAACCCCCAGGCTTTTTGTTTGAATCGTTAGTTTGGGTTTTTGGGGGGGACCGGCTACTCTGCCTACGTCTGGTCTAGACTTGGAGTGTATTTGGGCGTTACGCATGTGACGAGTGAGGGGTTTTGTCCTACGTATTTTGGTGTGGCACAAACACTTGCGACACTTACGAATAGGGTAATTCATTGTGAAGACGTGAATCTCGGTAATCTACAGATGATATCTCTCCGTCGTATGGATACACTCTCAATAGTCTTGTTCGCGCCCCATTATAGATAGGATACTTATCTAAGGTATCACAAAATGGCTCACCTAGGTCAGTCCCTTATCATC